GTCTTCTACAGCTACGTTTCGTTGAGTTCGGCAGTAATAGTATTTCCATTCTTCCTGTTATTGTCCGCAAAGGGGGTTGGAGTGGTGAGGAAGAGGGAGACGACGAATGCGAGCCCGAAGCTTTGCCGAGTTTTGCCGAAGCGCACGCTGCATTGGCGAAAGTGAAGTTGTTCTTTTATGCGCTTAATATTAGTGAACGTGACGAGGAAAACATTTTGAACGTGGAAAGTGCTCTGTTTGGTCTAAAACGTAAAGTTTCGACAAACCAGTTGTCCATTAAAGACTTTTTTGGTAAAAAGAAGTAACTTTGAAAGAGAAACATTGTTTTTTTTAAATTTTTAATGCTTTCCCGCATCTATCGTTTTCCCGCATTCATCGTTTTTATTTCCCACCCCCGCCGAAAACGATGCATCGAGGGTTCACTGTAATCATTGTACAAGGTTTATTAGGAATATGTAACAAAACTTTCTATTTTATTGTACAGAGGCAACAGGCTTGCCACCTGCTACTCTGGGGCACTAAAAAAATAAGACTAACATGACAAGTTGTCTTGAGCAACTGTCTGGAATGGGCCAAGTCCTTAGAGATGATGATGAACTTTCTATACCATACCTGAAATCATGCCCCCACTGAGAGACACAATGGGCTTCATCAATCACAAAGCGGGAAAGTTTCTGCCTATCATACAGACTACTGAGAGTATCCATCAACTTGGTGCTGGCACTCAGCTTTTCAGGGGTCACATAAAGGAGCTTCAGGCCTGAAAAATTAATTACAGCAAAAATCTCATTAATTTGATATTAAGTACCTAAAAATCCTTTATAAATGAAATTGAAACCCCATCTGAGAAAACAGACCTTCCATACCTTGTAATAAGAATAATTCAAATTTGGTTAAGTACAATTAACAATACTGTCAAATCATAAGGTGATTGTGTGATGTTTAGTAGGACTTGAGGTTTCCATGGTGATGGGTCTGAAGATGGCTGTCTTCAGCGTTGTTGCACCACATAGTCTGGTAGAAGTTTATCAGTGTTTCAGAGGCCCTTGCTGCCTACATCATCATCAGGGTCAGAATGGTGATGAAGATGGAGGCAGCAAGGACCTCTGAAACGCTGGCAAACTTCTACCAGACTACATGGTGCAACAACCCAGAAGACAGCCATCTTGTGTGATGTTTGTTTGCCCGGTACACTTTAAATCATGCCAAGAGTGTCTGAGCATCAGTAGCAGATGTATTTCAACACTACTTACATAAGTAATGCTTTCACTTCATAAATTAAAAAAAATAGTCTTACATGGGAAAACTATTTATGTGGCAACATCTTACATGAGTTTTACTGAATGTTTGAAATGTTACTGTAAAATGGTTTTATAACAAAAATGTTAAAACATAAAAAGATATACAACCATACCTGGTTCTCGTTTGCTTAGCTCTGTATACATTGCATGTTCCTGATGAGCTGTAGTTTCACCTGACATATGAGCAGCTGGAATCTTAAATAAAGCACAAAATATTACATAAAAAACAAATAAAATGTTACATTTACACAAAATCAATCTTCAAAACCCTAATATCCCACAATTCTCACATCTACTTAATTTTTTAATGATATCTGAACCTGACACATCTCCCTAAAATTGTAGTGTTCAAGTGGGTGCAAAACAAGTATTCGCTGGTTGGAAATTTAACAGTGGCCAGACATATGGACTGTGACCAACACCATTAATGTAACTAATCTTATAAAAAAAGGAATGGGAAATAAAAATAACACTGCATAACACATTCTAAAATCAACCTACTGATTTAAATCTTGACGCTGTCATAAATTAACAAACTGACATACTCATATTCCAGAGTCCTGCTAGAACTTCAACTTCATAGATTATATACTATTGACTAAGATACAAAAAAGATCACATACAACATGATTGCAACTAATTTCCCAACATTAAACAAATACCTCACACTAACAAAGTTAGTTACCGTCTCCCTGGTAACACCAGGATGACAAATTGTGAGAATGTAAGGATTTTCAATGAGGCAATAAAGACATATTTGAAGGTAATATTCTGATATTCACAAGGCCTGACTAAGGAAAGCAACACAAAGACTTATAACAGCAGTCAACAGAGCTGAGTTTTTATTTTCATGCTGAAGCATAATCCCTCATATGCACCCTAGAGTGCACGTGCATGCACACACCTTATTTTTCACATGCTTTTAAGCTATTTTAAAATGTCTGTTTTTGTCATATTACAAGTTTCAACTTGTACTTCAGTCACCATCAGGTCTGTAGATACTGAAGTTACTGCTACAGAATTCAACTGAGATTTGAACCAGTGGCCTCCCAAACACAAATCTAGCATTACCAATATACTACCTCAGTTGGTATGTAACAGTCACCAGTCTTCACACAAAAGTTATGAATATTACTTACATCTAAAGAGTTCAATTTCTGCACTTGGTCTAAGATGAGTGATTTCAATGGTGAGATGACTATGGTGATCCCAGAGGTTATAAGAGCTGGAAGTTGGTAGCAGAGAGATTTACCACCACCCGTGGGCATTAGGACAAAGCAATCAAACCCAAGCAATGCTGCATTCACTGCTTGAAGCTGATTTGGGCGAAATTCATGTAAACCAAACTTCAGCCTGAAAACCTAAATGAGAAATAATGATAAATGTAACTTACAACCACAGCTATACTTAAAAAACAATATGCATAACATGTCATATGAAATATAAACAGAATTTTCATTATATAATTTAGTCCATATTAACAACTCAGATACATGAACATTCAGGAATAAAAACCCGGATAATATTTATTAGATACTGAGATTAAGACAAACCTGAACAATCTCAAATCTCAGCAATCAGAATCACACAATTAGTTTTATAATACATGAAATATCACAGCAGCTCAGTGCTAACCCTTTAAAGCTGAAGCTTGTCTAAATAGTGAATGAAGATTCAGTCCATATCTCAAACAAACAGCAACATTTCATTACAAAGACCAGCTGGTCAATGCTGCTTAAGGAAATAATCGCTGTTTACCATGTGTTTTTTGGTGTCACAAAACTCTATATTTTAACAATAATCATCATAACTTGAATGTTACATTGATTTTTATGAGAATAAATAATATCAATGATATTTTTTTACCAAGAAATCCATTCCCTGTTGAAAATACTGTAAAATTAATAAACCATTTTCATTATTTTGTTAAAGTTTACAGGTACTTTTAAAAGGCTGCTTATTTAGTCATCAGGAATAATATAGTCATAAGACTGTAATAATTAATAAGCAATTTCAGTAAATTTGAAACCAAGACACTTTCATTAATTCATAAACAAGAAAAATTCACACATACCTTTATCATCTCTCTGCTATGTGGATAATCATTGCCATCAAATTCACCAGTGATGCCATCATTCTTTATGTTACTATGGAATGATCCCAAACCAGAAGATTGACAGGCTGGTTTTGACTTCGGATTGCTATTACTGGTAGTACTATGTATATTGTAAACTGAGGATGTGTAACAGACAAGCTCTTCCTGTGTGTCAACTGATTTGGCACCAGGATCTACAGCACATGCAAAAACATTTGTTTGGAGACAAAAATTGCTATTCTTTCAAATACAACAAATTATATGTAGTACAGATACAAAAATATGCAAAGTAATGTATATAGAGCTTCCATAGGCATTCTATATAAAATAAACACTCAAAACATTTTACCTTGTCTCTTGATATATTTATTCATTTAATTCATGTAATCACACAAAAAGAAGAAATAAACCCCCAAATATTAAACATATTGATGTAAAATACTATCACTCAAAACATATGGAAAATAAGTTCCAGTTTATATTTTAAGTAAATTTTAGTGCTGTACAAAATGATAATATATATTTCTTCTTTAAATCTTATTAGCAGGACACTCGTTTATGACATAACTTCTCTGGTCCCTTGGATGACATAACTGAGTGTGTGTGTGTTGCTTATATTCACATAAATATGGCAATTAAAATATCTTTTACTTAGGGTCAATTTTATCCAGTGCTCTATCTAAGAACAGTATTCACAGAGGCTTCAAGTAACTTCAGCAATAGCAATAGCCAGCAATTATCTGTAATTTGTTAATGCATTTTCAATGGTTCCAGCATCTTCCATGTTATTGCTATCAGTAAAATTATGACCAATTCCTCCTAATGAAAAACACAAAAACACTGAGACATGTTAATATTAAACTATTTGTGAAACAGGACTGACACTTTCCCCTTCTTAATTTCCAAAGCTGCATTTGCTTATGTATTCTGCTGCATATTACTAACCTGATATGGAATAACATAAATTGTAAACTTACTCTTCAACATTGGATCATGGATCTTCAGATCATGATTCTGTGTCATCTCTTCTATGTTGAAAGTATCATCATCATTTGGCCAATTTTGTGTCACATCATCAATATACTGTGAATCTGTAAATGCCTTGGAATGTAAGGTCGAGTTACCTGAAACACGCAAGCATTCTGTTTCAATAACCAAAAGTAATAAAAATTCACAAGTGATATACAATTGAATTTATACAAAGAACAAAGTAGTAAATGGAATATACACTAATCTTTACAAGTAACTTCTGAGTATAATTTTATTATAAATAAATGATATGATTAAATTTCACAGTGTACAACATAACAACCCAAAGACAGGTGCAAAAATTAAAACAAAACAAGATTAGTTAAAGTGTCATATACCACTACACTGACATACAGGACAAGAGGGTACTAATGACTGTATGAAAAAGAGCCATTGAGAAGCTAACACTGCTCAGCTAGTCAAGAAATCCCCCACATTTTACAGACTCTGAAGAAACATTACCCTCCATTTGTTTTGATCTTAATGTGAGCGACCAAGTTTCAAAACCATACAAAACAACACTTAGAATTACAGCTCTGAGTATTTTAATCTTTACATTTTTTTTATAACAAACATGAAGACAAAAGATTATGTTAAAAAATGTTATGGAGAACATTATAATGAAAACAGAAGCATAAATAATGGACAGATTGCTTACCCAATTATTTCACAATGGTGTATTAGTCGGTTATCTAATTATTTTATGATGCTGAATCAACTGCTAAGCTCACACAGCAGCTACCACATACAACACCCCTAATAAAGAAAAATATGGGAAAATTTTGAATGATGAACCAGGATGGATGTGGAAGGTAATGATCACAGCCTTTGTTAATGCTCTCCTGCCCTGCCCTAAACACTCATATACACCAAGTAAATTGTCATTACCAGCTGTAGTACTAATCAGCACTGCATGAAAAGTTAACAACCTTTCTGTTTATCCAAGAGTATACTATTGACATACATGGTGGCAGTTTTCCTTTCACATCTTAGATTCAGTTCATGTATTTGTTGTAACATTAATTAATTTAAAACAACTACTTTTTGATGAAATAATAAAATATAGGACTGCCATAATAATAAGGCAAGGAGAGAGTTTAAGTACCATATCACATTTTGTGGAGGAAATAACAAAAACTATGGAGAACCTCAGGATAGCTAGCTTCCATCAAGGATTCAAATAAGGTACCTCCCAAATGTGAGTTACCAATGTGTATATGGGCATTGTATTATGCTTCATGAGAAAAATACCATATTTATATGAATACAAGCAACATTTTTTAAAATTGTATTCCACAAAACTCTTGTGCAACCTACAACTGGAATATTTTTAATGGTGAGATAATGAGTTTATATCACACTTGATTAGGCAGTGTTTATTATGGTTTCCAATACAGAGAAACGATGCAAGTGTTTTAATAATAATAATAAGTGTATGTGTTTAAGAGAAGGATAGATGAATGAAATCTTTACTTACTAGTATGGCTTCTGGGTGACTGAGCTTCAACTGTGAGATAGTTAAAACTGGTTTTCCACTGATTAGCTGGTTTATTAAAACTATAATCACTTTGCTGCACAGAATGATTAGATTTTGTTGCAGAAATAAGCAATCTTGGTGGTGTTTCAGAATTCCTCTGAAGCATACGCAGTCCTGGTGATGTATTAAAATTATATCCTATTTGTGATAAACAACCACCAACTGATACTGGGCTTACTGCTTTCATGTTGACACAGTCACTTTTTTTGCCAAATGATGTAGGAGTCTTAAATTTGAATGCAACTTTTACAGGTGGTCCAAGGACTTCTTCCTCCACTATACTATCATTGAATAATGCTAAAGCAGTCCTGGTACTATTCAGACATTGAGAAGAAGACAGTCTGTTTATTAATGGTTTGGTATTGCTCCCCAAACTCCTAGGGCTGTAAGGACTAGAATAATTATCACTGCTGCTACATGTAGTTTTTACCACACTGGCTTCATTAAATGCATTATCATTAAGATATTCATCCATCTCACTGAAATTAGCACCTTCTGGTGAGAGTCTGCTAGAAATGTTATCATTATCATAACAACATTCTTCCACTTCATTCAAATCTGCAACTTCTGGAGAAAGTCTTCTAGAAATGTTATCATTATTGGTAACTACATTTGGTACACGCATATTGGATAATTTTGCTGCCTTCTCCCTATTCAAAGCAGGATTCTCAATTATGTCTCTGTTATCAGGAGATGGCACTTCAACTGAGAGTTTTCTCTTCAACAAGGCTCCTGTAAGTTTTTGTTTAGCTTTCAATTTTTGGCGCAGGCTTTTTAATTTTATAAATATACTGGAATCAAACTCTGGACACTTTTCAAGAAGCTTTAGTGGAAGAGATTCAAAACCTGAAACCAATTTTTCAAGTATCTGAAACTGAAAGTTTCTTAGGACGTCTATGTTATCCTTCAAAATTAATGTTGGTGTCTGAAAAACAGAGAAAAGGAAATCATGAGCATGATTAGAGTCATAATGGCTTAAAAAACACTTACCATTTACTAAATATTGGTACTGGTACTTGTAAGCTTTCAGCAAGCAATGTAACATGCTTCAATTAAAGTCCGAAAGAAAATAAATGAACCCAGTTATTCTCAACCTCAAGTAATAATCCAAATCACAGTCATCATCAGCAGCACTAAATGTTTAATAATATACTCTGTCTGCTGAGACAGACTACAACCCCAGATTTTACCTTATCATTTCACAAAAATACTTTTTTTATATTTTTCATGACAAGACAAAAAAGTTTGCAACTGAAGCCAATATGTGAAAGGAACACACTGTCTATATACTATCTACTGAAGCACCATAAATTTAGAACCCTCCAGTGGATCAGTAAGATGTAGGAAAAAATATAGATTCTGCTGAGCACTCAGGCCAGGAACAACAATTTGCATAGGAAAATTTTCATTCTGACAAATTACAGTAATTTAGAAGTATTCAAAATTTTGTTCCTGATGGACAGATGGTTCTGTTAGTAATCAAGAGCAAAAAATGATGTGAGCCTCTAAAGAATCCAGCAAAATGCAATTATTTTCAATCCTCTTCTTCTCCTTCCTCTTTTTTTTGGCAAAGAAACTGACAGATTTATATGAAATCTTACAAACCGATATCCTCTCTACAAAGGAAATTGGTTTGAAGATTTCATACAAATAACCACACAGCACAAAAGATCATAAGATAACAGATTTATACCTCTATGGAAACTCTTCCAAAAGAAGGATGACTTTCCATATCATCCATCCATGACTCCAATTCTTTTGTAATTCCCAATGGTCTTAAGGCCACACTTTGCAAAATCGTATCTACACCTATCAAACACACAAAAATCATAAATATCAGAGAAACAAATAACATAACATTAAGATATAGAGTTCACAAAGGGGGAAAAAGACACAGTATCTTAAGAGATCATGGGAAGCTATTAAAAATTGCCTGTAACACATCAGTTGTTTTCAGAAAATCATACAGTGTTTTTCAATTCTAAGGGGTTCTGACAATGGTGGATTACACTTTAAATTATTCTCTATCTGGACTTTTTTCCATCGTCCTTGTATAAAAGAAAGAAACATCGTGGTTTCTCTCTTTTAAACAAGGATGATGGAAAAAGTCTAGACAGTGAATATTAAATCCAGTGTTTTGTTCAAATATTCCAGACATGTCTAAAGTGGCCATTTGTCTTTTAAATACAATATATAATCATACAGTCCTGCAAGCTAATAGGTTAATGGGTTTAAAGTTGACATAAGAACAAATTAAACAAATGAAGCCAAAACTTAAATACATTTAAATTAAGCTAATTTTGGAACCAGCTACTCTTCCACACCAGATGTTGGCCTAATGATTACACCACCATGTCTCATTTCCAGAACCGTATTTACAGTGCAACATATATACACACTCAACAAAATCCGTCATTTTTTCTCCAAGGGGGAATTTTCAGATGTTTTTTATGCTTTAGCATAAGTGAAGAACACCTTTTGGGCCCATCCATGTCTGTCTGTGTGCAGGGTCTTTCATCATATTTTTACAATATTTTGCACACTGCTGGAATGATAATGGATCATAATACTGCAAAGGGACCTTGAATCACACTGTTGCATCAATTACCTTGGATACCAATGCTGTCAGAAATCTTGTTGCATTTGTTGTTCAGTTGACACCATCACCATCGCTGTGATGTGGTATACAGAATACCTTTGGAATTTTAGTGTTCTACAATGAGTACACCAATCATACAACCAGTAAGATATAACAGCCTTGTATGATGGACATTAAATGAGGGTTCACTGCATATACTTATAGATACAAAACATTACCAGACCTGGCTACACCAGTATAATAAAAGGAGTTATGTGTTACAAAGAGCATCCTATAAAAACAGCTCTTTTTTACCTGTATTTTTCCATACATACAGAACAGTAAATGTGGCAGTTCATTTCTTTTATCTCATCTTAAAGAAGCTCAGTAGTACCAGAAGACTGTTCTTACTCACCATCAGTGGCATGACAGCACACACTTTCTTTGCTCGATTTTTGTTCATTTGTATCTGTAAAACTGTCTTCTTTTCTTAACTTAACATCATTACTAATGCATATTTCCTGAGTTTTCACTGATTGTGCATCCACAGGAGACTTCTTAATATGACGAAAAGAAGATGAGAGAACAGGTGATGGAGTTCGATCATTACCTTCATCCACACCAATTTCCTAGATTAAGACAAAGAAAATGCTTATACACTCCTGGATATATTAACTGAACCAATGTCATATCTCCAAACACAAATTTTACCTCTCCTTCCAAATAAGGGAATGGAAATTCTAAATATATGACCTATTACTGTATCTATTTGCAACAAATATGAACTGAAATATATATATAATGGGTGGATTTATTTGTAACTTATCTCTACTTTATGTGAACCCTTTGTTTGTATTTTGGGACATTTATACAGGGTGTCCATAAAAACCTTTACAACTTCAACATTAAATAAAAAATAATGAGACAAGATTAGTGAATGATATTTTTTGCATGTTAAACAATATCTCTCAAAGTTTTTAAGGGAATTTTGTTTAGTGTTAATAACATGACTTGTTAATTGAAGATGTGCACGTCGACTGACATTTAACATTAAAGGAAATGGCTACTCCACAGGAGAAGGCACAATGTGTATCCTGGTTTATCGAGACAAGATCAGATACGCAGATGCAGCGCAAGTTCAGGACCAAATATGGAAGGGAACCGCCATCAAGACCCGCAATTCGTGAGTGGCAAAGGAAATTTATGGAGATTGGCAGTGTTCTGCATCAAAACGGCAGTGGCCAACCAAGCACAAGCGTAGCGGACATTGAACGTGTGGGTGGCACATTTGTCCGTAGCCCTGGAAAGTCCATTCGCACCGCCGCCAGACAATTGGAGTTGCCACGTTCGACCATCCACAAAGTGCCGCACTAGAATCTGAGACTGTACGCATACAAAGTTCAGGTGGTGCAAGCTCTTGAGCCAGATGATAGGCTGCGCCGCACAGCATTTGCTGTCGACATTCTGGCTCGAACTGACGTCGAGGAAGGCTTCCTTGAGCGTGTTCTCTTTAGTGACGAGGCAACTCTTTGGTGACGAGGCAACGTTCCATGTGTCAGGGTTACTGAACAGGCACAACGTAAGGATATGGGGATCCGAAAACCCCCATGCGGCCAGAGAACTTGTGCGCAATAGCCCGAAAGTTAACGTGTGGTGCGGACTCATGTGTGACCGAATAATTGGGTCATTCTTCTTAGCCGAAAAAACACTCACAGCCAATGTGTATCTGGACATGCTGACGGAATTTGCTGTCCTACAATTGGAGGACATTCAACATGTCATCTTCCAGCAGGATGGAGCACCACCCCACTGGGAGTTGGCGGTTCGTGGTTACCTTAACGAACAGTTTTTGATAGGTGGATTGGGAGAGATGGTCCAATACCGTGGCCACCTCGTTCGCCCGACATAACCCCGCTGGATTTTTTTATTTGGGGTTATGTTAAGGATCTTGTGTACCGGACATAGGTTCCCAACATCGATGAAATGAAGCGAAGGATTGTGGAAGCCATTGCAACCATTAATGCAGAGATTCTTTAGCGAACATGGAGGGAAATCGAGTACAGGCAACAAACTCCATTCAGTTATCTTGACTCATTAATTTTTTATCAAGTCTTGACGCTGTAAAGGTTTTTATGGACACCCTGTATAATAGTATGACTTATATTTTTTGTATAACAAGTATTGTATTATTATGACTTATTCTACATTCTATTGTCATCTGACTAACTTATGGATAATAGTATGACTTGTATTTTTTGTATAACATGTATTGTATTATTATGACTTATTCTACATTCTATTGTCATCTGACTAACTTATGGATCCATGGAATGTAATAAAGATGTATGTATGTATGCATGCATGTAATAGCAGTGGTCCAAAATAATTAAAAAACTGGGATGTTACACACCATGCCAACAGTGCACATACACCCACCTTGTTTACATAATGACAGCTTTGTAACTGTCTCTGATATTAAAATCTGCACTTTCATTCTGTTTGATGTTTCAGATTTTAAGCATAATTATTACATGCACATATCTTATGACTTCATTAATGCAGTTAATTAAAGCATTAATTTATGATTAAAATAACTGTTATTTGTTAATTATTTCCTAAAAGGACAAATAATGCAATTACTGTATTTTACCTGCAATTCAGGATGCTTCTGAACTTAATATGCTTGAATAAAATAAAATGTAATCATACAACAAAAGCACCATGGGAAACAATTAAAAGAAATAGATTAATTAAATTGAAAACTACATAATGAGGAACTTCACAATTTATAGAGGTCATTAGGTGCCAGCATAATACTAAGTGCAGTATTGTCCACTGCTGAACAGAACAAGGTTAACCTCATAGAAGGTAAATGGATTATCATCACAATAGGTTGAGAAACAAGTTTGTACCTGAACAAAATCAAGTCCATCAGCAAACATATCCTCTGCATCTGAAGAAGTGGACCTACAAGGCTCATTTGCACTTTCTGTGATTTCATTAAATTCTAGGAAGAAATTAAAGAAAAACAAAAAAGAATGAATAAGCAAACAAGAAAAAGTATCTCATCAAAAACTACCATAAATCAATGTAATGAAGACAGTTTACAAAACGTTGCTTACTGATATTAAGTACAAGACACTCTAAACTCTAAGGACAATGGTATATCATCATCATATTTCATTTTATTTTGATATACAATGCCTGTCATTTAAATGGAAACAATTATAAACAAATTCTAAAAGTCACTACATTTCAGAGACTGTGTCTGTGTCTTTGTCTTCAAGTAAAAATAGATGGTATCAGCCCTGCAGAGAAAATAATTCAATTATCCATTCTGCTCTACAGAGTAACCTGTTTCACATATCACGGCTTTTTGGTACATTACTTTACAGCTTATCTACCATCGGGAATTGATTTATGGGCTTTTGATTGCTTCTATGCCCATTGATATAGCTTAGCCTTGTCTAAAAGGCCCTACAAAGTAGGTACCGTCCTTCATGCTTATCTAAAGATGACAGAAAAAGGGTGTTTATAATCTTTATAACTGTTGTCATTGAAATCACAGGAAATGGATAACATCCAAATAAAATATCCTTAGTATAAGGCAGACTTTTTTGTGTATTTTGAGCCATGCACACTGGAGCAGTAGGATACCCTAGGCAGGCAGCAGGCCCTGGAAATCTCTGCCTCCTTTCCTCTAGTCTTACATCACCATCATCATCTTCTATGGTGCTTCGGCCCGTTTTCGGGCCATGACCTCCCCACTTAGGAGGATTCTTGGTCTTTTGCAGCGTGCATTTGTGAAGAACATAGAGGCATCTCAGTGTGAGATTAACTTTTAAAGCCCAGTGATAACTATACTTACCACCTGCTTTACCAAATGATAATTCTGCATTATATTCACAGTGAGTACTGATGAGTTTTCTACAATATATAGAATAAACAGTGATTATTTCCTTGATTTGGTGGTGGAGTGTCAGGAATAAAGACCTCAAAAAAAAAGACTCATGGGGTGAAGTCATATGAAGTTCTTCTGTATTGATAACTAACTGTGAAAGATGATTTTATGAAGGCAAAAGAACTAAAGACGGTGAAACAACAGTTCTAATACCAAATTGTTCTTTCTGGGGAGGAAATTATCCCCCAGAATTATGAGATGGGATGAGCTTCAGCTTAAACATTTAAGGAAGAACACAATAGAAGCTACAATTTTAACAGAACATGCAAAAAGGGAAACTATCTATTCCAAGAATACTACAAACACAAAGCCACTTCCACTTTAAACAGCCAGTTTTACATGAAAGAATAGCATGTTCATATAATTTATAAAATCGATGGCTTGAAGCTTGTTCCCATGGCTCAATATCAAAGTTTAAAAATAATTTATTGTAATTTATTAAATTGTGCTCAACCAGGGCTGTGTGTTACAAATGGTTTTTAACCACTAATCTCACCAGTTACCTTTATGAATAGATGGTCCTGCGTCAAAATCATCATCTGAAAATCTTTCTTTGACATCTTCTGTGGTGCTGTCTAAAGATACAGGAGGATTTCCTGTTTTCTCAAAAATGCTACAAACAAAATGAACATAAACTGAAAATGTGGAAAATGGTTATATGTAGCATAAGGCAATCATCTAATTTTCTCAGCACAGCAATGCTGCCAACACACCAAAATAAACATGCTGCACAAACAATGCGCACTTCTCCTTCACCATACTTTGTGAAAAAAGTCGTGGTTGTCTTTTGCTCCTTACTCTGAGGCAGCTATTATCTCACTCTATGCTACAAAGATCTTGAGAAGCTAGTAAAGAAATTCACAAAAAAAATACTAAATACTGTAAACAGATGTACTAAGTACACTGTTTCGATATTTTATTGTACTGAGTGTTCATATCCATACTATGACAGTAAAACCTCTCAAGTTGGACACACCTTTATATTGGACACTTTTAATTGGAACGGGCAAATATCCTATAATTTTACAATTCCACAATACCCTATATCTTAGACACCCCTTTATCCTGGAACTTGAACACCCCTTTTGTTGTAAGTTGGACAGGTTCATGCACTTAACTTCGATGCTTTTCAGGGAAACCTTTTCAGTTACATATTTTGTTATTTTGAATTTCTCTGGAGGATTATCTTATGGACACTGAACCCATCATTGGAATGCATTGCAAGTGTATAACTATCCTTTTGTTGAACCCTTAACTGGACTACAGTATTGCAGAAGACACAGTTTTAACTCCATCAGTACTGTGCTTGAATTTGAGTTCAGACTGTGTTAACAGAAATGGAATTTTTCTTTTTACGGTGGGGAAGAGAAAATTGGTGGAATAAACTTTAGAAAATGTTACTGAGGCTGGGGTGTAATATGCAATGCATGGGAGTGGGTATCAAAAGATTATTATTAATACTATTGTCATTAATTCTTAATTCAAGTAAGCCTACAGTAGTTAGTGTATATAAGTAAATAGATTATATTGTCATTAGACCACAATCTGATTTTTAACTTTCCCTCTATCTTAGACACCTCTGCACATTTTCGTGGAACTCCAAGTGTGCAACTTAGAGAGGTTTTACTGTACCATGAATTTCAGCTTCTGTAATTTGCATGTATCCCTCTGTTCGTTAGTCTGTACTACAACAGGTACTGCCAAACACTGACGACATCAAGAAGGAATCTTTTTAATATGAGGAAACTATTTTCCACCATGAAGAATGTCACAGTATACAAAAATGTATGCATAGAAAATATCGGAGGGTCACATGCGGCCCACAGAAAGAGAACACCTGGCATAAAACAATAACCAGTCACACTTGTCAAGATTGTTACAACATGAACTTATAAACTGTGTAAGATTTGAGGTTTACACAGCGGTGAGTATGAAGATTTCTGTCTTCTGGGTTGTTGCGCTATGTAGTCTGGTCGATGTTAACCAACGTTTCAGAGGTCATACTGGTTAACATCGACCAGTCTACACAACGCAACAACCCAGGAGACAGAAATCTTCAACTTATAAACTGATTAGAAGTACATAATAATGAACTAATGTAAGCTGTAAACTTACGTATTATCTGCCCTGCCGTCGTTTTCTTTCGCTACTAATATATCTGTTTTGGGCGGGGATGCTGTATTTCCCTTGCAAAAGAAGTTTGTCAATTTTGGTTGTGCTTTCTTTCTGAGAGACGCACTCAAACTGAGAGACTTCTTTGGCTGAGAAAAAGAATTCATTATACGGCATGACTTTCATAATAATATAATTTAATAACTAATTTCTCACTTTTATCAATCAACAGCACGTCATAAAATTACTCCACCATTGCGGCACTTCTATTCACAAATGCCTAAATGACAAAAAAACGCTACTGCATCCTGATTGGTTACGACGGACGAAGAACTTGTGCGACTGGCGACATCTTCTTTGATAAGCTTGTACTCTGTTAAAATAATTGTAATCCGTTACCGAAGGATGTCGCGAATGAATGTTGTCCCTTTTCCTGGACTATAACCTCGAGCTAACAGAAAGCAGAGCTTCATCATGTTCCCGAGGAATTTGTGAACAGTTCGCATGGTGGGTGTGAGGAGTTCCGATGGATAGAAGATCATTTTGCCAACGTTCCAATGTTTCTCTCCACCGAGTACAGCTGAGCTGACGTCGAAGAAAACATTCAAAAAGTTCGTCGACCGCCTGCGACAGAGATTGATTTCCCTACCGTGCTCATATGAGCCCACTTACGGCTACAAATTTTCTTCCTATTTCAGTACCCATCAGTCTTTACAGTTATCGGCTAAGAAGTGTTTTACGACGGCAGTCCACCTGTGCTCCTACATCGCACAGCACGCATTTGAAGACCTCTTTTACGGAAAAATGCGTTGTTACATTTTCTATCCACCGGCACCAACAAAACGTGGTTGCCGTCCGGCAGTACACCAATTTGAATAGTCTAGGCCAGCGTTGTCCAATTGGCGGCCCACGAAAGTATTTGTTAATTTGTTCCTAGTTAGTTCAAAGCCATTTTTTTCGAAGTTGATATTCCATCCCTTGTAAAAGATCATTCTGCTCAGTGCTCACACTAAAGCCATTGACCTAAGTTTTCCAGGTAAAAATTGTGACAGAAAACAGCTGTTGCAGGAACAAATTTAAAATAATATACAACTCTGTAGTAGTTTGTTCACATTTAAATAAAATTTATATTTCAGCATATGCAATGGTAATTTTTCATTTCTGAATAAGTATTATTAAAGATAATAACAATGCAAAAATAGTGACAGTAAAGGTTTCTCAGCCCTTGGATCCAACAGGAAAACTTTTCTGGCACAAGCAAGGAAAAAAGCTGGACCACACAGGTCCAGGATACAGCTGCAACAAAATCCTGTTAACGTAAGCACACAAGCATTTTAGTTGTATGGCTGTTTACCATTTCCAGCAATGTGTTTCATACACAGGAATGGTGGCACCTAGCACATAATGATGTCTTGCGCTTCTGGAGACTACATGCCTTGATACAGGAAAGAAAGAACAATTACTAGGTGCAAGTTTTACCAGAAAAGTACCATGTTGGCCTAATACATACCATTAAAAAAATTTGTAAAATGACATATTTGTGATGTGTGGAACAGTATGTAAGAATTGGACAAGTTATGAAGTTCCTCATAACAAACCCTGGAACATCAACACAGACATTGTATGAAGAACTAGTCTGGTAAGATGAACGGGCACAGAGGTTTCAACATATGTGTTTTAGATTATTTTTCTCTTCAAAGTTCACAACATAACACAGGAAAGAAAAATAAGCAGTTGAAATTAACTTAAGCAACCTGGCAAAATCAGACATTGAATGCTCTGAAAATGAAATGTTAAGTTCTCCTGCCTTAAATTTTACTTTTACAGTGTGGATATATACTCTAAGCAAAATGGCATCTGAAATAATTATTACTATGATAACAAGTGCCATTTCTTTAAAATTTGGAATGCCACCAAACACTTCAATTACTTTTCAGGACTTTATTGCTGGGTTATTTAATTATTAATCAATACAAGCAAAATTACTACAGTTGTAGAAATATTTTACTCCAAATCACAATAAATTGCTTTATTTTTTAAAGCTGCCCTTATAAGCATGCTAAGCACCAAACAGTCAGTACTGGATAGAGTCAAAAGTCAGGATCTGCATCATTCATGTAAGTTTATCTTGATCATATATCTAAATTATTTAGCCACCTACTTTGTACCTATTCAAGAACACTAGTAAACTTATGATTTAATAAAATGCTTAAACTTCACACTATTCCACAGCAAAAAAGTAAAGTTTGTCCACTGTACGCCATGTAGGCGTTTGGGGTGAGTGGAGGTATAGCTCCTCTCTTCCTTGACCTCGGCACTAGATGGGGGTGAGTGGTCAGCATCATGCCCCGGCCGGCTTTACCCCCGGGAAAGGACCCCGGTACCCATTGTAGAGGAGGCTGGGTGGGCCCCAGAGCCGGTCTGGACGCAGAGGCTAGAGGAAAAATCCTCTGCCCCCGTCGGGGACCGAACCCCGGCCGTCCAGCCCGTAGCTAGTCACTATACTAACTGAGCTATCCCGGCTCATACTATTCCACAGCACTAAATTTAAAAAAAAGTGCAACTAAAAAAACTGATAAAAAATGGCAGCCCACTGTAGCTCATTGTTATAACCCACAGGATGTAAAGCAAACCAATATGTGTAAGAAACTGTATCACATAACATGAACATTTCAGGGCTATAATTTGGGCATCAAGAGCACGGTTACAATACACCACGCACAGTTATGCTTGCTCTATTTCTTCTCCTTAAATATATTTTAATATATGTCACACTCTGTATTTCCAAAATAGTTTTCAACAGCTGTCTACAATAACAAAGCTTGTATGTATATATATTTTCTACTTTTCACTACCACATTTTTCATCAGATAGTTAGCCTTTCAAGCTAAAATTCTAACACACACTAAAGTGTAACTTTCAGACAAAAGCAAACATTTCTGTAATTTTAACAAGGGTAAGAAATGCATAAGCAGCACAAGTTTATTGAAACCCAAAAATTTGCTATAATAAATCTATCAAAAGGTTCTAGTCCCCAAGATAAATATATGTATCATTTAAAGACAACTGAGAAATGAAGTTATAAATGCAAACCACCTGAAAACTGCTGGCAACACTGCAGCGGTACAATTCTCCATATT